AAAAAAAAAAAAAAAAAAACACTTTCAGGAACTTTCAATTGAATTGATAACTGTTTATCATTTCCAAAGTCGAAAAATGTTGGAACAGACTACTTCTGGAAATCTCGCAACATTTGTCAAGATGTTCTCAAAAAAAGGAAGGTATGGCTTGCTGAGCAGGTTTTTGTTCACAAAAAAAAGACGGTAATCTGAATTATCTGAAAAAAAAGACTGCAAAATGGTAGATATTGAGTTCCTTAGCGTTAAGCAGTATTAATTAAACCTTACTGTGTCTTTAATCTTTTCCGTTATTCACTGCTTTTTTTGTTATTAAGAAAAAATTAATTTTAAACAGAAATGATCAAAGTTTTTTTTTTTTCGGCAAATCATTTAGGGGAATTCTGTTGACATTTACCTGTCTATTTTTTTACCGCTTTCCTTCTTCTTTTTTTTCTCTTTGTTCCTGTTAATCCGATAACTCTTTAAACTAACCAAGAAACTAAATTTGCGTTTACTAGTAACAAATTTAGCAGCTAGGATTTTTTAATAAGCTGTATTTATTTAGCATTGTTTCTCAGCAATAATAAAATACCTGAAATTCATTTGCAGACAGTTTTCAACTACTAAGAGAAAAAAAATTTAGCAATTTTTGTTTTTGAAACTTTAAAAATAATATGAAGTTGGTAGCGTCAAAAAATATTCTTTTTTCTATTTTGATATTTGGCTCTCAGTTATGTAAATTAGTTGAATATTAGCCAATCCGTCGTTGCAATACCAAAGAACAATGTGTAAAAGAATTTGCCGGTTTTTGGTGGAATATGTGTATTTATCCTACCATTCTAACAGTAGCAGCTTCTGCAGTTCTTAGATGTCGGGTAAACATTCTGGCTTTTATCCTCGCAAAATGTAGAAAAAATGTAACTAAGAATCAAGCAGAAAGTATTGTTATTATTCGTGTAAACAACAAAAAAATGGAACTTTTTTTCCATGGTTTTTTTGCGTGAGAAAATTTAGAGCAATTCTTTTCAATTTTTTTCAGTTTATATTTTCATTTTTTTGTTTTGAAGTGTTTTTCTGCTTATTTTTGTTTCCAAAAAATAAAAAACTTTCACTGACAACAAAAAACAACTACAATTTTTTGGGCGAAGAGAATTTTAACAGGAAATACTACAGTTATGCGTTCGCCGGTTACTGCGTTAAAAACTTGGACTGATTATGCGAAAATGAAGGCCGTTTTATTCCTTCTTAAGCCAGTTTTTCTGTTTCACGCAGTACTTTCAATAAATGTTTGATGGAGACAAGAAAATGTTCTCAAAATCTTTCTACAATAGATTTTTGTCAATTAATATCGGTAGCTCATGTGTTGTTTAGCTTTCAGACTTTACTACCGCTTTTTAACGGTTTTTACTGTTACTTTTGAGAACAACTGCGTTATATTTGTTCGGAGAATATGTATTGCTCCATCAATGTAAATGACTTAACTGTGTGTCAGATACCATCAGACTTCAGAGAAGGGTGAAAAGTTTAAAAATTTGCGAGTGTTTTCAAAGAAACTGATTAGAATAACAGTCTCCAAATGTTACACTGACTATAGGTGACATGTGTGACCTAGAATTGACTTTTTAAAAACGGAAGCCTTGTCGCTCTGACCAGTTTATAATTTTAAGCATTTAGAAGGATAGGTCTTTTTTTGGTAGAAAGTTTTAATTTACTGCATTGCGAAGTCTGGTATCCTCTGGAAAAAAATGGAAATTGCTCAATAATAAATACTGCACCAAAAGTGGAAGAGAACCCGGATCTAGATAAAAATTCACAAGCTGGTTTATGACTGATGATGAGCAGGGGCCATTAATATGTGTTTAAGAACAAGTGTTGGGTAAGAAATGAAAAATTACTAAAATTTTAGCTCAATTAGGCAGTCATATTTGTAGTGACTGCTGTATCGATGGGTAGCAGAAGCGTACATTCGGGAGCG